AAAAGTATGCAAGAAATGTGAAAATTAAAATATGCTAATTTCGTACTTTTTTTTTACTTCATAAGCTATGAATAAACGATGAATAGAAATGTCTTCAATGAAGTTATAAAAAACATTCCGAATGAATGGTTTAATTTATTAATGAACTTGAAATTAATTAAAATATCATTTAAGCAACCATTTATGAGCATTTCTATGCATTATATATTAGCATATTTTTGCAAATTTTATGAATAATTAACGATTAAATGAAATACAGGAATAGAAGAATGAAATAAAATGAATAACAACAATAATGATAAGAACAAGAATTAAGAATAGAACTGATAAAATTATGATAAATTTAAAATAAATTTGAAAAGAAAAAGAAAGTTAGGAGAAGTTTTGAATTTGATAATTCATGCGAAGTGGCAAAAAAAGAACGCAAGAAAGGATAAGAAAAAGAAGATCGGAAATCTTATAAAAGATGAAAGAAAAACAAAAAAAAAAAAAAAACGTTTGCGATACTATTTGAATCAGTCATCCGGAAAAAATGACTGAAATTGTAGGAATGCTTTCAGGAATGATTAAACGGATTATATTTCGAATGGAAAAAAAAAGAGAAAATGCAAAACGCATAATCTAAGAAGGACAAAAAAAAAAAAAATTGGAAAACAAAACAAACTTTGATTCATTTATGGTATCATATATTATCGAAAAATATATTAAACCAAACCAATAAATTTTGTTTCGAAGAAATTTGGAATTTTTTCATTTTTCGTTTTTCATTTTTTGACGGAAGAAAAATGTGTTATAGAAGGATAAACAGAAGATTGAAAATAAAATACTGGATAGGCTGTTTGTTGTTAACAAGTATAATGGATATGATAAATCATGATAACTTATCATTATGCTTATTAGTAATACAGAAGGGGCAGAGAAAATGATGATAAGGATAAGGTGAAATGAGGCTATTATAACTTTTACTATTATTATTATTACTATTATTATTATTATTATTATTATTATTATTATTATTATTATTATTATTATTATTATTATTATTATTATT